TGACCACAAAACACCAGCAAAACGCATCGGCAGACCTGTCGTCGGCGTGTCTTTGTGAGATCTGCGGCCGAGCGAAAATTTGCCCTTGTTTTTGCTTCAAACGAGCACAAAGAGGAAAATCTTGGGGAGTATAACAATGCCCCTTCCGGGCTTTCCGCGATGTTTGAGTCTTGAGCACCCCAAGGGAGTATTTTCTTCCCTTCAGGCGTTTATGCTCCGCACCCCCGTCCCTCGACGTCGGGGATTACGGCGGGGGCTGCGCCGCGTAGCAGGAGAAGGACAAGTGGCAGAGCAGGGAGCACGGCTGAAAATGAAGAGCAAGTGCGCAAGTTTTGCCGGTGTCGCTGGGTGTGCCTCCACTGTGACTACAGAATTAGCCAACGAAAGGCTTTGAGCACAAGGACGTAGACGGAAGTCTTCCAGAGACAATCGGCGAACTGTTTGTGTCGTTGCAGTGTAATTATGACGACGATAAGACAAAAAACACTCCCAAAGTCAGTCGGCAGACCAAAATCGGTGTCGTACCTCTCCAGTGTAAACGCGCCTTTACGGTGCATGCTTTTCGGAAGTCTGTAAAGATGTGCTCGCAGTACACTGAAGTAGCCAGCTTGCTCAAACATACACTGAGAAGATTCGACGAATTTACCTTTTTGTACACTGAACAATATGCGTGACGCACAACGTTTTTACTCGTATATGTGACTCGCTCGATTGTTCTTTTGTGGGGCTGCTGCGCAGCAAAGCTGTAGAAGTCGTTGGCGTCCTTGAAAATCCCGGATGAATAAACGCTACGAATGCCCGTATGCTCGATTCACACGCGTGTTCATCCCCATTGTTTCGGCCAGGCTCTATAACTGGACTTCGGTTTGTAGCAAGCACTTACGTGCACGTACGAAGAGTTGCCCACATCTTTAACTATCCTGCACGACGTGCAGTTTTTAGGGGCGAAGATCCTTAAGGCGTAGGCTTGTCTGCCGTAGTTGTCTGTCGTAGCCACCCTTATAGTATGTCAAGTGTTCTCTAGATGGCGCTCGCATCGCTCGCATTATTCAAGATGTTCGGATAAACATACAGACAGACAAACAAACGAATGGACGGATGGATGGACATACAGACGAACGGACATACAGATGGACGGACGGACGCTTCGCCCCACTCATCATAATTTAATCCGTGAATATGCTGTGACTTTTCTGTGTGCCCTCGCCATATCACTGAATAAAGGGAGAAGCCGTTTATCAGAAATCGCAATGCGCCTGCCTTTTATAGCTTAAAAAAGTTGCTGGTTCGCGCACGGAAGCATTGAAGAGACGATGAGTGTCCCGACTTTTTATTTTTTCATAATGCTTCCAACTGTTCTAACTTGCATACTTTTGCTTGCGCTCATTGCGCTTAGCGGATTTCGGCCCCCAAAAGTGAACAAGTAATTCGAATGAAGTGCTAATTCAGTTTAAATAGCTAATAATACTTTCAGCACGTCTATTTCAATTTAGGTGGCGTCAAAAAAGGGAAAAGGAAAATCGCTGGAGTAAATGAGAAAATGAATGCCGAGCTTCTTTGTTCGTAAATTCTCGTCCTGAACCCCCCCCCCCCCTCCCCTATTACATCATGAACGATCTCACGAAAGCTGGAGTATGTAATCTTATCCGGAGTGCGTTCCACTTGCTATAGGAATAGCACGTATAGCATATGTTAATTTCCAGGTGTACTTAGTTAAGGTCAGTTTGAGATTCTGTTTTCATGGCGGCCGTGACAGAAGCTCGTTAATGTTAATCGTTCTAAGAGAAGCCAGCTTTTGTGAGTGTTTCTTCTCGCCAAATGCGGAAATAGTGAAGTCTAATTATCTGTCACATGTACAGTGACAGATAATTCCAGTCCAGTCTTGATGTTCCAGTCCAGTCTTGAGATTCTAGTCCAGTCTTGATGTTTTACGCAGAATTTTCTTGCTTTAGCCAGATTCTCTATATTTTTGGCGTTTATTTTTGACCAACACACAGTGCAACATGACTTAATCCTACGATTACACTGCTTCAGGGTCTACGATATTGCAGCACTCTAAAAAATAGAAAAAAAAATGTCAACACGAAGTATTGTCGATTGTCGCTGCGACTCGAGTCGCTATGAGCTCAACTGATCGGTAAACGTTGATATCAAATATGATGGCGCGCAGACAATGTTATCTGTCAGAAGATGGTCACTGTACACCGTGAACGTAAAACAGTCTTCGAAAGCAGCAAATACACGTCAATGATCCGCACCGGTGTGTGCACGACTCCCCGGACGACCTATCTAGATAAAACATTCTTGAGTCTCACCATGTCAATGCTATTTTAGCGCTGCTCGCGAGTTATCACAAACGCCAAGCTGCCTCTTGATATACTAAGATTGACGTTGTGCGTCTGTTGTGCAATGAACATTTAGCCTTTGCAAATGCTTGATTTTATCGTCGGATAAGGCCAGGGGTTATTAGATTTAGGTGGGCGGAAGTGGCGCGGTTGCTAGTAAAACCAAAGGGGGCAGTCCTGGCTCTCTTGTCTCTAGAGCAGGTACTGTCAGAGGCGTAGCCAGAATTTTTTTTTTTTGAAGAGTGTGTGTGGGGAAAGGGGGGCGGTATTCAACTAGAGTTTATGTACTCTGTCGTGCTTTATGAAAGGGAACACGTGAGCGCGCGGCCTGCGCTTTGCGGCGGCTGTCTACAGGACAATCATCAACCAACAGCAAAATAAAATACGTTGGCATTTGGCGTCATCTATTGGCAAACAAAACGACGAGTTGTGGCCGCTGGACAGGTGCTGCAAGATACTGTAGGCAGCCGTTGTGGATAGCAGGTCACGCGAGTGCGTGTTCCCTTTCATAAAGAACGACAGTGTACGTTCGTGCGTGTGTTTTTACGTGAACCTGTATGTATACGCAAGCAATATTGCAAATTCTGAGGGGGGATATGTTGAAACTCCAACCCCCCTCCCCGTTGGCTACGAACCTGGTTACTGTCGTCACACCTTACCACACAACCACCGCAATTGAGCGCGGTGGGTGGGGTGCTATGATGTGACGACAGTATAACCAGAGGCGTAAGCAAGGGGGAGGAAAGGCTCGGGGGATCGGGCCCCATTATGTACATACGGTATTGTTATTGGTAATAAAGCGTTTTCATTATTGCCCACTCGTCCGTATACTTTTGCTGTAATTACCTATAGTGTAGCCGTATGGGGTCCCCCTGTCAGTTTATCTGAAACTTTGGGACCTCCTCCGGTAAAGTGCTAACCGTGTAACTAAAATGAACTATTTAATAAATTTGACTTGACTTGAAAATAAGGTGATGTCATTTAGCTGTGGAAATGGGGGCTAGTAGGCAGGCGTAATGTTTTAAGCTCGTGCGGCCGCGTACTCTCGTGTTAGCAGTAATACTGAGCGAGACTGTAGTTTAATATACTCAAACAGCGTGTGAATCCGAGGACAAAAGCGCGGAAGTATGAAAGGCAGCTAAAGCAAGCTTGCTCGTATCTGCACGACGCGCGAATGTTGACCTTCGGCTTGGCGACAACATCCACAGTGAACGCTTCCCGCGCGTCGAAATAATGGTGCATCGCATCGCAGCTGCGCCGACTTTTCAAGAATCACAAACATCCATGAAATATAACTCACGACGAAATCTCGCTGTATGGGCGAGAAGTGAGACCGAGGACGAAACACCACGCCGAATTTAGTAGCGATTTCATGTGCGTTCAACGAACGCTCCGCAAACGCTCGTAAAACTATGTTAACATTTTTTTTCAAAAAACGTAGGAGACCCATAGTTCCCTGAAGCTAAGCGTTTTGCATGGTAGTATAATATAGTAAATATAGCATAGTTTCGTGTATATATATATATATATATATATATATATATATATATATATATATATATATATATATATATATATATATATATATATATATATATATATATATATATATATATATAGTTGTGTCGGGTATACGCTTCGCGAGCCGTTCGTATACAAATCGCTCAACATTAATCGGCATAGTTTTGGCGGACAAGTGGAAAGATTTAGCTTCGAAAGTACTTAATGGACAGCTGTAGGAAATCCATTCCCAAAATAGTGGACTCAACGATATGGGCTCCACATGATCTGTACCCTGTTGTCTAACCGATAGCCCGAAGGACTAAATACGCTTTCCTAAAGTTGCTGCTACTACTGTGTCCTGAAAGTATTTTCATATTCCGTTTCGATTGCTTACACAGCAAGATAAGCTATTGTATGTGCATGCAGTGTGTTTTGATGTACTTGTCGCGCAAATGAATGAGCTCAAACTTAAATTCAAACTCAATTTGGACTCGGTTTGGCCTTACGGAGCCAATAGCGGTACAATTTCGTGGCACATGGCAACAAAACAATTTTCAGGTAGCGCCGCCAGAACTCGTCGATTTCGGGTCCGGTCTATGGAATCCACCTGATTACGGCACTTGACGGCCGCTGCTTTGCGAGCTTCATTAAAATTAAAACAGATTGTCCATCATGACAGGACGTGTTTTATCGCTGTTCCATTGAGACGTATGCATTAACCTGATTGTTTTATTTTTAAAGATTACGGACGATATATAACAAGCTATAAGAAGTTTACTCGAACAAGTCTAGGTTATGGTGTTTCGGAAAAAAAGTAAGAAAAGAAAGAAAGAAAGAAAGAAAGAAAGAATGAATGAATGAATGAAAGAAAGAAAGAGAGAAAGAAAGAAAGGTGCTGAATTTCAGCATTTCGCTCCTGCTCCCTTCCCACTGCACATTTAGGCGGGAGCGCAAATCAACCATTCCATCACAACGTCAGCCACCAGCCGTGGAGTGGAAATTTGCTTACGGAACAATGCCGTTATCGAACACACGTTGTACGTGCTTTTCCGCAATGTACATACAAGCATCTCGCCGGGATGCATGTACTTATAAAGAACAATGCAAGTGCATATATCGGTGCCTTATCGCGAATGCTTTTCTCCTCTGCAGGCAATCCGGGCTCGATCGAGTTCTACGCCGAATTCATGCGCGAGATATTCGATGGCCTTAAGGGCAAGGTCGTCGTCTGGGGAGTCTCGCACGCTGGTCACGTGGCCCCGCCCAAGCCCATGCAGATACCCAACGTCGAAGGTCAGTGGTGGTCATAGTAGTGAAATGAATTAAAACTAGCTGGATTGTATATCACTGTATATCATAGCCGGTCTATATAGCTTCTTTGTAGTCGGTTTTGTACACATCCGTTCCGGCCTGCCGAAGAAGACTTCTGGAGTGTAACTTTTAATAATGTTTTTTCAATGGTCCCGGTGGTGTTTTCTTGGTGGATTTTTTTAGGAGCGAAGCTCCTTAGGGTGTGGGTCTGTCCATCTTCTGATGGTGTATGTAGCCACCGGTGGTACATACCTGAAACAGCGGTCCTTAGAATGTCCACTATAGATGGCGGCACTTGTATGTGATGAATACATGATGAAAAGATGTGAGATGACTGTACTTAAAGTGTTCACTAGATAGACGCACGGACGTACAGATAGACAGGCGGAGTGATGGACGCACAGACAGAGGGGCGGACGCACGGACGGACGAATAGATTGATTGATTGAACGATTTGCGGGGTTTAACGTCCCAAAACCATTATATGATTATGAGAGACGCCGTAGTGGAGGGCTCCGGAAATTTCGACCACCTGGGGTTCTTTAACGTGCACCCAAACCTGAGCACACGGGCCTACGACATTTCCACCTCCATCGGAAATGCAGCCGCCGCAGCCGGGATTCGATCCCGCGATCTGTGGGTCAGCAGCCGAGTACTTTTATGGACAGACAGACAGACAGAAAGACAGACAGACAGACAGACAGACAGACAGACAGACAGACAGAGGGACGACCACACGAACAGATGCACGGACGGACGGATGGACAGACGGAACAATGGACGTACGGAGGGACGCACGGACGGACGGATGCACCGATGGTCACATGGATGGACGGACACACGAACGGACGGAAGCAAGAACGAATGGCCGGACGAAAGCACGGACGGACTGACGAACGCTTCGCTTCCAATCATCATTCACCCCTTGGATATGCTGTGATTTTTTTTTAAAGTTTGCTGCTGTATGATTTCTGGTGTATTCCGTAGGGTGTGTTTAGAGCAATGTCTAGCACCTACAAGAAGGGGCTCGCCATCACGCACGGGGTAGGTACAAACAGAAAATGCATCAACTGTAGTATAAGTTTGTCAGCGTACTTAATTGGGCCAGCTGGTTCTGCAAGTCGACGACGTGGGTGCGCTTTGAAGACGCAGGCAGGGAAGAGGCGAGACCCACTTGATTTTCCCTGTGCGCATCTTCAAAGCGCAGCTGCATCGTGGACATGCAGTACAAGAGTTGACCGATGCACAGTGAAGTTCTACAATTCAGCAGCTTCTCGACTGTAGAGTTGAAAACCAGCCTCCTGTAAAACCACGAACATACTTGCGTTTTCGGCTAAGCTCACAACCTGAGAAAACAACGCGCTTATTTTTACACCCGTGTCACTCCGGGCACTTTTTATAGAGATCAGCAGCGATCATAATCGCTCACGATCTGAAGTGTTCGTCGGTGTGACTGAGAAATTATTAAATGTACTCATTATGCGATGACGTCAACCGCTGCCGGGTCACGCGTACTGTTCTGGTTTACTCACGAGTACACTATTCATGAATCAAATTTTCATATTACACCTACCTAGACCATTGGTCCACGTTCACACCGAAAAATGAGTTAGCTTGAGTGCGGAGATGTTAATTCACCGGCGGCAGCAAGACATGCGATGATTCATTTGCTCGCATAGATGCGAACCCACTCGCAGGCATCGCTTTGAAGAAAACCAAATGCAAGAGCAACAAAGCGTGAACACTGCGACGTAAACTGTGCGGCGATTCATGTTGAGCGCGGCTGCCTTGTACCATTCGATGGAGGCGAAAATGCTGTAGGCCCGTGTGCTCAGATTTGGGTGCACGTTAAAGAACCCCAGGTGGTTGAAATTTCCAGAGCCCTCCACTACGGCGTCTCTCATAGTCATACGGTGGTTTTGGGACGTTAAACTCCACATATCATCATCGTCGTGCTTTGTACCATGTTGTTTCGAACAGAACACATCATCGATGCGGCTCAAACTATACAAGAAACACCTTTGCGATCGATTCTTAGTGTTAGCTTTCGCGTTTTGGTATGCGCACTTCAGGCGTCAGCGCACTCATCTGCCACAGGTGGAAAACTAAACTACGGCGCCCAATGCGTTCCCTGCAACCGGTGTCCTTCGACTAATCTAACGCCGGAACATCGCCTCTGTGCCATTTATAGTCTGCGCTGAGCTTATATACGTTCTCTTTAATGAAGTGGGCCGAAACTACGCGCCATTTGTGAGAATCCAGTTTTGTCACGCGTGATCGCTGCCGTGCATGCAGGCGCTCGTTCTATACCTCCATCGATTGGAAAACTGAACGTTTTGACTCGCATATAAAATTAGTTCAGGCTTGCAAACTGCATCCTGGCTTGACGCAGCTGCGCTCGAGTTCCAAGCGCTTCATCGGAGTAATTCCATCTGCATAAAACATCGAGACGCAGACAGTCGCGGCCAGCAACAAAGGTTAAAACCGCGCAAAAACAAGCTAAACAGGAACTTTCCAAGGGCGCGTTTCCCGTGCACGCACAATGTTGCCAGAGACCGGCACTTGCTGGCGAAACCTTCTATAGCATAGACTCTTAAAGGAAGTTGGAAAAAATCTTGTAACCACGAGCGAATAGTAACAGCAGCTGTCACTAACATTCTTGGACCGTTACTAACATTTTGCGGCCTTTTTACCATCTGCGGTAGCAGACACTTAAATGTTCCAACGGTTATACCTTTTGCGTATACTGTTACCAAATTTTTGCGATGCACCTGTTTAACGGACTCGCTACATAAACCTTAGATGCTATTATATTCACTGTATAACGGGGATACATTCATGTTGATTGAGGCTGTGTTGGTAAGCTTAGTCTCCCGTCTTAGGTATTGCATGGTCGTTGGTATTAAGGCGTAATTACGCAAAATATAACTAACATATTGTTTGTTCTTAATATGTTCGATAAAATCCCTTCGCTACGTTTTCTCTCGCATCTAATAAAACTATACTCTATTTACAAACTACTTATCCTAAAGCATATGCTCACCGGCACTAACTGTGTTCCTTAGGGGTATACCCTGTAGCCTATATAAGGCTATAGGCCCTATTATTTATTTATAGGCTATTTATTTATAGCTTTACAGGGCTAGAAATACTCCTGAAACCGCTCATGAATTAGACGTCTTGTGTTGACTTGGCGTTGTGTATGTGAGGTGCCCTCAGTCACGATATTATGTGCATAATTACTTGACGATATATCGCAATTTTAATGCTTGCAAATTTGACTGTTGTAAATAAAAGCGGGATATTTGTTAGGCGAAATGATCGTAGGTACAACGTTTGTGTGTTTGTGAGGAGAGGGGAGGGGGGCTAGTAACTGTTACAACCTATGTTTTACTAGTTAGCCACGAGAAGAGTAGTAACCGCTACTAACTGCACTTGTAACAGCGAGTGTAGAAACGGTTACTATAACTGCACTTACTAGCCAGTAAGTATAGCATGTGTAACGAGTAGTTAGTAAACCGAAGTTAGTAAGTACTACGACCTTCTTTTCTTTAAATTAGGACTATTGAGTGTGTTTTCTAGCTTTTTTTCCTTGTCCTTTTTTTTTTCTATGCGGAGAGTAGCAGGCTGGAGCGCACAAGCTCAGGCCAGCCTCTCTGCCTTCTCGTAAATACGGCGGTCCCACCATTTTTCCAGCTTTTATCCCAGTTCGCGGTATAGTTGTCATAAGCAGTGTCTATACGTAATAACGCTTATAAACGTGATCGTGAGGATTACGTATTTTATTTACACATACGACTCGTGTTGTGACCCAGCACGGTTACATAATAGTTATGGCCCGAGGTTCACGGCGTCGAAACCCAACCACAGCCGCGCCACAATTTCGATGAAGGTGAGAAGGCATGGGACCCGTATACTTTTTTGGTGCGCATTAAAGAACTTAAGATGGCTGAGATTTCCAAAGACCTTCACTACGGCGTCTTTCATAATTAATATCGTATAGATTTAGGATGTTAAATACTAAAAAAAAATCACAGCATATCCACGGAGTGAATGATGGTGACAGGGGCGAAGTATCCGTCGGCACGTCCATGCTTCCGTCCGTCCGTCCGTCCGTACGTCCGCGCGTGCGTCCATCTGACCGTCCGTCTTCTAATCTGTCTGTCCGTCCGTCTGTGCATCCATCTAGTGAACACTCCAAGTACCGCCATCTCCCATCTCGCAACCTCTGTGGCTACGTACGACAACGACGGAGGATGGACAGATCCACCGTCCCTAAGAGGAGCTTCGCCCATAAAATTATCATCAGACGTTCGCGTGCGTGTGAGGAAAAATATGCAGGGCTGTAATAACGGACGGTCGCTGCTAACTTTGTACGTGCCAAGACTTACCCAAGCTCGACAGCACATCATTGAGGAGTGAAAGGCTCCGGAAATTTGGACCATCTGGTGTTCTTTAACGTGCACCCAAATGTGAGCACGTGCACGGTTCTACGGCGTTTTCACCTGTATCGAAAATCCAGCCGGCGCAGCCGGGATTCGATCCCGCGACCTGCGGATACCTCGTCGTGCCCCAGCGGCCACATATGCGGACAAAACATATTACTGAAGATCAATTAAGCTAGCCAACGCCTTACCTTGCCTCAAAATCTGTGTTTGAAATGTCGGCATTATCGGCATAGAGTACCATAGCGTAGCAAGAAATTTTTCTCGGAGGAGGCGGAGGAGGGGGTGCTCAATTATACATATTTTTTTTGTATTCGCACGTGTGTTTGTTTGTGCGTGTATAAGTAAATAAGCACATGCAAAATTGAAAAAGAAAAATCCAGGTGAGGGTGGAACCATCCGCCTCCTCCTCCTCGGCTACTCTAGTGACCGAGTAATGTTAACATTTTAAACCGACTTGAAGGCATTAGTTAGCTAACATGCAATATATGCGGAAGATGGGCTGTAAAGAACTATAAACGACGTCGTTCGAAGTCG